TCGACGTTACTTCTATCCAAGCTCTGATTGATGTTCGCAACCAACTCGACAAGTTCGCTGCTCCCGAGGTCGTTGACTGGCACTTCGCCAACATCGAGAACCGATGGACTAAGCGTGCTCTCGCTGCTGCTGGATTCGGTTTCCGCACTCCCCGCACTAACCACGAAGGCACTGGACATTGGAAGGCTATCTTCTCCATTGCCGACCTCGGCGGTGATGACAGCGCTGCTACTGCTGCTGCTCTCGATGAGAAGGCCAAGAGCGCCCCCATCAAGCAGGATATCGAGGCTGTTGACGACTCTATCAACAGCATTGGCTCCGAGAAGGGTGTCTCAAGAGATCCAACCAGCGCTCGTCTCATTGCTGTGCAAGGTCTCAACCGACCTTTCTTCCATCTCGATTTGCAGGAGGCCGTCGACGCTGCCGTTTCCGCCGCTGAGTTGAAGCAGCACTAAATTGGCTATTATTACATATTAATCGTTGTGTATCTGGGTATCAAGGTGTTTCATGGAGTTTTAATATGGTAAAAGATTTGTCATGTGTTGGAATCACACCGCCATAGAGGTTGTTAGGCGACGTGTCTATACCCGATTCAGTTTTGATGTTGTTCTAGTTCTAGTGTTTATAGGGGGGAAGATGCCAATGGCGACGTTGGCCATGGCTTATGATTGACAATGACTTATCACTTTTACATGCATGCCTTTTGCTCGTGACTGCCGTAAATAATAAAGAACTTGAGACTATACTGAGTAGCCTGACAATCCCTAGAATCCAAATATGTACTGGCAGTGATTAAACCCTTTCTATATCTGCCCTCCATGCTCGCTGTCAGATTTCGGTTCCAAGTCTTGTCTTTGATGTCATGTGCTAAGCAAAAACACGACCATGCATGAAGGTGGTGTGATCATTGCCTAAGACAAATAAGAAACCAGTCCAAGGTCAATCGGTGTTCAACTTATCTAGTTGAGTGAGATACGTTACCCCTGAAAACTGGTCACTTGAGCAATTGAATCACTGCTATCATGCATGGACTTGGTACGTGTTGTGCATGGGAGCCTCGAGCTATCGATCGTCCAATCTGAACGACGTAATATCACTTCTAGGGATAGATCACCCGAAGTGAAGCTTCTAAGGTGACGAAAGAGTAGAGAAATAGAAGAATTGCTCTAGTGAGCCTGATATCGTACAAGCAGAATGTCTGCCATGAGTCCATTCATAATTCGTCTTGGCATCGCGGAGCGGTGACTCCATAATATTGTTGTTGACGTAGGTTCTTAAGTGAACTATTTAGAGGCAGGTAACATGTGAAGCGCCACGAGAAGTGTAGTTTAATGACAAAGCTGCGCTTGGGATAGTGAAGGTTCTCGAGCGTACCTTGCCACCGTTTATGTCGACTAGTCTGATGTAATGGGCTTTTGCAGCCATGAGAAAGCTCATAGGGGTGCTCCAGAGTTCACAAGATCTTGTCTCTTGCTGGACGAGGACTCTTCGAATGAGCTGGAATGAGGCCAATATTATTCTGGCAGAAGGCCATTCCCAGACTCTATCACTGTGAGTCATACACTATATTGGCTTTGGTTTCGGGTCTCAACTATCTAACACCGTCGTCATCAGATGAAAACATCCCTGGCGAGTAGCGACACAGTATCGACTGACCATAAGGGGCAACTGAACATGTTGGCCATCAGTAGACTAAGTTGCGGCTCAAGGCTTCAGAAAGAACACGTGCTTCCAGAAAGTATCCCGTAACTTAGCGATGAGTTGAGAGAAGGCAGTTATCGTCACCATAAGGAATCTTCGCTTCTTTGTATTTTTGGAGATACAAACGAATATGCCGCCTGACTACCTCGTAGATATCTGCTTTCCATCTTTCGGGCAGGTGAACAGGAGGACATAAGCTGGCAACGCAATGTACGCTTCAAAAGCCCATGCACACCAAGTTAACAGGAATATCAGAAGAATTTAGACAAGTCTCATGTCAAAAGCTATCTGCGGCATCTTGTCCCCGGATGTCGGATGAACATGGGCCGTATCGTCCAACTTACCCCTGACGCCAGAATGGTTCAAGATATGGTCTGATATCTATGTCATTCGTAACTTATCGTCACTCTTGAGCAAAGCTTCGGAGGCTAACTGCTAGTGGTGCATATCCGGCACTAACTCCCACTACTGTTCCAGGTCTCGTGCCTAGTCAAATTGAAATCGAGATGATTCAATGCGAATCTCCAGACCATAAAACAAAAATATCCCAACTCAGATCGACGAGAAAGGCAAAGGATGCAAGACCCTGAGGATCTCACCGCATGACATCATGTCCGCCGATCGGAGCAAAAACTTTGTATGGCGAAACCTTCCATCAGGAATTCTAGAAACAATATCGTCATGGATCTTGTTAGTACACGTGGAAAATACTTCCGTGCCGAGGCAAGCGGCTCCGCCGTGCTCCACTCTTCACCGGGTCCGTATCCACCGAGAGCGGTCCGAGAATCCATTTTCAACGGTTGAATTTTATTTTGAGATTACAAAGCTGGGGACAAGTTACGTGAATGATCCGAGGACCTGAAACAAACGGTCAGGATGGATAAAGATAACGATGTTTCCGAAGTAGGTATTAATGGCAAGGGGACATGTTAAGCGACTTGTCGGTGAAGAAACATCACTGTTGCCAGCATATTGAATGTGCAACAAAAGAGAAGCATCAAAAGCTGGGTGCTGGAGAAGATACTGGATCAGTCTCACCGGAAATAAACATCCCAAAACATGCAAAACCTGGAATGCCAAAATGTCCATAATGACGGACTCTTCACTAACCCCGATATCAAGGCAAAAAGAAGCTTTCACATCCCCACTTCGGTCTCTTTCTTCAGGCTCATTCCAAAGTCAAACCCACAATCCGTGCTTCGCGTGGTCGGCCAACTCGATGAGGAAGACTGCCCCGGCCGGTCCGATAGCCCTATGTAACCGTAGCTATCGCCAGCCGTTTTCTATATAAAGACCAGCCCAGAAGCCCCCTTCGAATCGAACCATATACCCCATCTTTACACAAAACTCTATCTCTACATCTCTATAACCCTACATACATAGCATCGCAACAATGGTCTCTTACAGGGTCTTCCGAGGAACCCCCGAGGGAAAGATTGTCTCTGACACCGTCGAGCGTGAACTCCAGAACCACGAGGTCTTCATTGAGACAACACACTCTGGTGTTTGTGGAACGGATAAGCTCTACCAGCCCAGTGGAATTGTCCTTGGTCACGAGGGCGTTGGTGTTATTCGTGAGGTTGGATCGTCAGTGAAGAACGTCAAGGTTGGCGACAGAGTTGGATTCGGATACACACATCAGATCTGCGGCTCTTGCGACAACTGCTGCACAGGTAAGAAATCGGAGAGTTCTAGGAAATAACAGTACTGACCCTGCTGCAGACCTTGACCAGTACTGCCGTGAGCGCCAGATCTATGGTTTCTCTGACACTGACAACGGCTCCTTCTCCTACGGCGCTGTCTGGGACTCTAAGACCGTTGCTCCTATTCCCGATGGATACGACTCCGCTGATGCCGCCCCTCTTCTCTGCGCGGGAGCAACTGTCTACACAGTTCTGACCAAGTATGGGCTTCGCTCTCAAGATAGAGTTGGTGTTATGGGCATTGGTGGCCTGGGCCATCTTGCTATCAAGCTAGCTGCTGCCAAGGGTGCTCACGTCGTTGTCTTCTCTTCCTCCGAGTCTAAGAGACAGGAGGCCCTTGACTATGGCGCCTCTGAATTTATTGTTTTCAAGTCTGGAGACGAGGCTCCCGAGAACTTCAAGCCCGTTAAGCACTTGCTTCTCTGCGGTAGCGCAAATGTCGACTACAGCAGGTACGTACACCGCACCAGCATTTGATTCGTCACAACTAACAATCATAGCCTCGTTCCTCTTGTTGATACCGATGGTGTCATCTACCCTCTTACTGCCGCTCTAGAGTCTACTCCCGTGCCCCTGACCTCGCTCTCCCTCAAGGGCATTCGCGTTCAGGGCTCTCTGGTCAGCTCTCGCGATAGCCTTCGCAAGCTTCTTGATTTTGCTGCCAGGAAGAACATCAAGCCCACCATTATGACATACCCTCTGAACGAAGAGGGGATTGAGAAGGCTCTACACGACTTGAAGGAGGGCAAGGTTCGATACAGAGCTGTCCTTGTCAAGGAGTAAAATGGTTACGTGTTGAAGAAATTAGAAAATAGCGACTGCGGAGCTCAAATGTGTTTTTACGGAGAAAAGCGAGGTTGAAGGATATACCAAGTTGTAAGATTACGAATTTGAAGAAATTGACGTTGGCTGTTGTTGAGCTAAACCCGGTTTGACTGATTGGAGCTGTCGCGATTCGGTGAAAGATTTCGTAAGGTGGTGACGACAACAGATGCATGGTGAGGAACTTTTGTAAGCTTGACGCGCTTATTAGCTTCTTATTCCGCCAAATCAAACCCGAGGAACGGAATATGCTCATATTCCGACCCAACTTACCCAAAATTCGATTGCCATTTGTGAGGAGAGATTGTAATTCACCATGACAGAGACTATGTGTAGCTTACTGGGTTTGCCCTGACCGAGAATAGAACTTGACTGTTATTGTCCCGAGAACAAGAATTTGGAGCTCATAGAATGTCAATAGTCAGGATCCATCTCCTACTGAAGGGGTACACCAAATTTCGTTTGATTTAAATATTGGTTACATGAAATATCTATCTGGTCTGCATCACAAACACGGTTAAGTCTATCATTCCCTATTTCTCCCTGTAAGACGGCGTGAGTTTGTCCTATCGCTTGGCTGACCACCCAATCAACTCCTTTCCCCGCAGTTGATAGTGCATTAAAACGTAGTCACCCACGTAAGCACCAACTGATTCAGGTCAATTCGTCATTGGGTCTCACACTGGCATAACCAAGTTACCTTATTTATAAGATGATGATATGAATCTACTTTTCCCGTCGACAAGATGTACAAATAACTCAGCCACAAGCGCTATGGATGCTAATTCTTCACTAAACGTTCTGCCCGAAACTGATTTCGGTCCCTCAGCCTCGGGAAGATTTGATTTTACTGTCTTATTTGAGAATGTTGTGCTATCGATTGTCCCATCTGCCTTGTTCTTGATTCTTGTCCCGCAAAGACTACTATGGCTGAAGAGGGAGCCACGAAAAATTGTTGAGAATTCGCGTCTTCTTATCAAATTGGTTAGTGCCCTAAGGCCGTAGTCAAGATGATGCTGACGATACATCAGGGTCTGATCACCCTCTATACTGGACTGCAGCTCGTGGTATTGACATACTGGACGGTTGGACCTCTGCCTACATCTAAACCTCAAATCGCTGCAGCGGCTCTTGTGTTTGTGAACGGCCTGTTGTTGGCCTTGCTGTCTTACGTCGAGCATACACGCTCCGTGAGGCCTTCAACAATCATCAACGTCTATCTACTTTTTACAGCCCTTTTCGATTGCGCTATATCAAGAACGCTTTGGCTTCTCGAAGGAGCGCACGCAGTTGCGAGGCTGTTCACGGCAGCAACCAGCGCGAAAGCTCTCATTCTCATATCTGAAGCATGGGAAAAGAGGTCCATACTGAGAGTCCAGTACCGCGATCTATCACCAGAGACGACGAGCGGTGTACTAGGCCGTAGTGTCTTCTGGTGGATCAACCCTCTGATGAATTTAGGATTCTCCAGCCTTTTGACTGAACGGGATTTGTATGTTGTTTCGTCTACTAGAATACTGGTCAAACTAATACGATAGCAGGTATGCCATCGAAAACAGTCTGTTGGGGAAGAGATTATTCGCACAAGCTGAGAAGTCATGGCGCACCGGTGAGTTCACAATGCATCTACGCGGCATGTCAAGCTGATAGAAATTCCAGCAAAGAAAATAAAGAGTAGCGCTCTCTTTTGGTCGACGATCTGGTCGTCTAGAAGAGTCTTTCTCCTTGGAATATCATCACGTATTTGCTTGATGGCTTTCAAATACGCGCAACCCTTTCTAATTCAGAGAACAATTGGATTTGCGAGTAACCTGGATGAAGATAAAGCCATTGGATGGGGTCTTACGGGAGCCTGGTGTTGCGTCTTCATTGGACTGGCGGTTCGTGTCTCGCCCATTGCTCTTGTAGAATCCAGACTGACATTATAAAGATCGCTAACGCATTCTACTGGCATATGACCTATCAGTGAGACCAAACTCCTGCTGATTAAGAAGCCAACACTAATTATCTAGGTTTGTCACCGCCGTCAGGGGTAGCTTGATCAGCCTGGTATATAACAAGACCCTCGATTTGAGCATCACGGCTTTTGACGAATCAAGTAAGAGAAAACGGTTCTTAGGCAAGATCCATAGCTAACTTCTTGCAGTCGCTGTAACACTGATGTCTGCCGATACCGAAAACATCTGCTTAAACTTCGCAAGCATACACGAGATGTGGGCCTCGCCTATCGAGTGCGCAGTGGCTTTATATCTCCTATACAGACAGCTTGGCATGGCATTTCTGGCCCCTATGGTTGTGGCAATAGGTTTGACTTCTCTAGTAATAGTAACTTCACTTCTAACACGGGATTAGTCTCGACAACTGGCATCCTGATGATCGCTAAGTATATCGCGAACGCCCAAAAGCGGTGGGTTCGTGGTATCCAGACGCGCATCGATGTTACTGCCTCGATGCTGGGTTCAATGAAAGTAAGTGCTCAATTCAAAGATGCTTGGTCCGAGTTACTGACCGCGATTGCAGGAAGTGAAGATGCTTGGCCTGACGGATGTTCTCAACAACATGGTCCAGAGTCTGCGTGTCAGAGAATTGGACCTGTCCAAGAAGTTCCGTAAACTCATGTGTTGGCGAGTCTTCTTCCGTAGGTCTACGATTTACTTCTGGAAATACGGTGTATCGCTAACTTAACCCCCTAGAAAATACCATGGAGGCCATAGCTCCTCTCGCTACATTTGCGACCTACGTCGTCATATCGCAAGAGACAGGCAACCCTTTGAGTACCGCTTCGGCATATACTTCTCTTTCACTTATCTATCTTTTGTCAAATCCTATGTCCACTCTCATACGAACGATCCCTGGAATGAAGGCATCGCTTGCATGCTTTGATCGAATGCAGGGCTTTCTGCTATCGGATAGCTGCAAGGATCACCGCTTACCTCTCAGTGTCCGCGATAGCCCAGGCCAACAAAACACCCAAAGCTTCGGGCCAAATGCTGTTACTCAGGGCCAAGCTTCGATTGAGCTACTCGACCGCTCCAACGAATCATCAGTGGCAGCTGGCCAGCCTCTCATGATCGTTTCAGACGCTAGCTTCGGATGGTCCAAGGCTGAAGCCCCGGTTCTCCGCAATATTTCTTTTCCTATCCGTAAATCCCACTTCACCTTTGTGATTGGCAGTGTTGGGTCTGGCAAAAGCACTCTCATGAAGGCCTTACTTGGCGAGCTACAACCGTACAAGGGATTTGTATACACGGATGCTCGACGAATAGCATTTGTTGACCAGAAGCCATGGATTCAGAACTTGACAATTCGACAGAACATCCTCGGCATATCCACTTATCACAAAGATTGGTATGATAGAGTTGTACATGCATGTGGGCTGGAGCAGGACATTGGTGAGATGCCTGACAAGGATGCCACGAAAGCGGGTAGCGGTGGTGTTTCTCTCAGCGGTGGCCAGAACCAGAGACTTGCACTTGCAAGGGCCATTTACTCAATGGCAGGAGTGCTTATTCTCGACGATGTCTTTTCGGGACAGGATTCTTCGACAGAGGAGCATATTTATAGGATGCTCTTTTCAGAAGCAGGGTTGCTAAGAGAGCTTGGCACGACTGTTGTTTGTGTAACCAACGCCAGTGAGTTCAGCTTCAGCCAGGTCGAAGTGAAACATACTAACATCCCATAGTTCATCGGCTGGCATATGCAGACCACGTAGTTGCTCTAGGCGAACATGGCACAGTTCAACATCAAGGCACATTTGAGCAACTCAAGAACGACACTGATTACTTCCGTGGTTTACATCTTCGGCAGAACGGGACTGCCAAGGGAGACGGCGACTCCTCGAAAGCCAACGACAAATCGACTTCAGCACCTCAAGGACCAGAAGAAGAGACTGAATCTGCTAACCGAGCACTGGGAGAACTTGCTACTTATGGTTACTATTTCAACACAGTACCCAAGTGGCATGTCCTGTTGTTAGTGACACTCACAATCTTGTTCGGCGCGGCCCACAAGATGACTGAGCTATTGCTAAGTTTCTGGACTGGTCATTCTGTTATTACTCAACAAAGCGTCAACAACTTCTACCTTGGACTCTACGCGATGCTAGCTGGACTTGCAATAATTGGTATCATGGGTGCAGCTGTGCATTACCTTGTTATCATGGTACCTTTGAGCAGCGAAGTTCTGCATGCCCGGCTACTTCGGACAGTTATGAATGCTCCATTGTCATTCTTCTCGAGGATGGATGTTGGCGTCACAACAAACCGCTTCAGCCGTGACATGTCCGTCATAGACACCGAGCTTCCGTTTGCATTGATTGACCTGGCCATTGACACCAGCGTCACTATCATGTCTGTTATACTGATGTGCGTGTTCTCTGGATACTTTGTGGCCACGCTGCCCCCTCTTGCTTTCTTCTGCTGGTGTAAGTTTCGCTCCTGGCTCCCCTTTTTTTGCCATGCACTGACAATTGCGCCAGTGCTTCAGAGATTCTACCTTCGAACTTCTCGCCAGATCCGAATCCTCGAGCTACAAGCAAACTCACCACTATTCACGCAATTCCTTGATACCCTTCAAGGTTTATCCAGTGTCAGATCCTTCGGCTGGGTGAAGGAGTTCGAGGAACAACACTTTCAGTTCCTCGACGCATCTCAGCGTCCATACTATCTCCTCTTCAGTATTCAGCGCTGGCTAGCTGTTGTCCTTGACCTTGCAGTTGCAGCGCTGGCTACAATCCTGATGGTTCTCATTGTGAAGCTTCGAGACAACTTCGAGCCGAAGTTTGTGGCAATGGCCCTTCTCAATGTGACATCTTTTTCGCAGTATCTCACGCAACTCATCAAAAATTATACACAATTAGAGACTTCTTTGGGTGCTGTTAGTCGTACTAAAGAGTTCTGCACCACAACTGACAGTGAGAATCTTCCGGACGAGGTTGTTACTCCACCCGAGAGCTGGCCTCCTCATGGCCATGTGCAGATTGACAAGTTGACTGCTGCATATACCGCTTCGGGTGAGCCAGTACTCCACGACGTCAGTCTGGATATCGCTGCAGGCTTCAAGGTCGGTGTAGTTGGACGCAGTGGCAGTGGCAAAAGCTCTTTGATGGCCTGTCTTCTCCGGATGTTGGAGGTTGACTCCAATTCTAGCATCAAGTTTGACGGCATTGACATCACTACACTTCCGCGACAAACTGTACGAGCCTCTGTGGCAGTCGTACCTCAGCATCCGTTCTTCATGAAGAAGACTACTGTTCGCGATAATCTGGTGCCTCGCGGTGAGCAGGCTGAAGAGAGGATTCTCGCTGTTCTTCATCGCCTTAGGATGAAAGAGGCTGTAGAGAAGCTTGGAGGCTTGGACAGCATCCTTGATATCGAGCGACTATCGCAAGGTCAACGCCAACTTCTTTGCCTTGCCAGAGCGATACTAGCCAGCAAGAAGATAATATTTCTTGACGAGGCGAGTAGCAACGTCGACGCCAAGTCCGAGCAACTGATCCGACAGGTGGTCCAAGAGGAGTTCGTGGGATGCACGGTCATCGCTATTGCACATCGGTTGGGTGCTGTTGTGGATTTTGATCGAGTTGCTGTGATGGGGGGAGGAAGGGTAATCGAGTGGGATAACCCAAGGGAGCTACTGAAGAGGGAGAGCGAGTTCAAGAGGCTATGGGATTTGAGCTCTGGATAAGAGATCAACTGCTGTAGAGCTATTTGCAAGGCTAAAACGCAACTGGACATGCTCTCAATAAATCATCTATTCTCGATACAATGATATCGTTCACCAAACATGAATCTCAGTCCCAGAGCTGAAGTGCCAGGTCACCAGTCTGCGGTTACATCTGCAACAGTAATGCTCAGTATTTTTCCACTGATTCCCGATATACGAAAGAGGGCCCCCAACGATAGTGCATGCAAACATCAATGCAGCCATGGCACTGATAGGTCTAAGTTAGCGTCCATCAGCATACCTGTTTCGGGGTTTATACTCACTGTGTACCGCCACAGATTTTGCGCTCAACTCGGGTCAGAGAGAGTTCTCGACAGGCAGGGCATATGACAGCTCGAGGCCATTGTTTCAGCTTTCTCAGAGGAACGACATTGGATTGAGAGATAGTGTTGAATGCTGTGATCTCGGTCTGTTGCTGAGACTCGAGGGGGGAGAAGAGTTCGATTTTATTGTTATCATCTGATGCATCATCTCTGAACAACGTCTGGAATCTTTGTTTTTTGGTAGTTGCCATGCTGGTGGATAGTTGGCCCAAGACTGATTATTATGAATTTTGATGTAGATCGTTGCGAGAGCCGTTGATATATGCATTGAGCTTCAAAATGGCAAGCCAGCCCTCATCCAATGATGGCCCCTGTAATTGCGGATGCCTGGAGTATCACATTGCCCAGCGCTCGTATTTCGCGTTGTGAAAGTGTAGCCAATAAGACGATGGTTGGTATCAGCCACCGACACCATTTTGGAGGAGCTGAAGCAGAAGACTAACTGGCCGGGCAATTATTCCACCGCTTCGGTCTGGAATTCAGCATCGGTGGCTGTGTTTTGTCAGTGGGTGCAGGGTGACGAATTGTGATTTCGCAATGTCGCAGTCCTCGAACGCATTTAGCTAGAATATCGCATGCCAAGGAGCTGTGTGGCTTTCGCAGATAGAAGATCGCTTGTTCTAGATGTATCGATAATCGTAGGATCCATGGATCCTACTGCAAACGTTTGTGCTTGGACATTTAGGCAGAAGATCTTGAGCCTCACCTGTCGCCTTTCCTCACTATCCCGACGCTTGAAAGCCCGAATGGATTAGTGACGTTAGTGGACATGGGTCGGTATGGAATGGATCTGCCCTCAAGTTGCGGTTAATGCCACTCGGCGAATCCAACACGCTGGTTTGCTTCGCCTAAGCCTCTGGGAGCAAGAAAGTATAAGACTTGAAAAGAAGATATCAAAATGAATTCAGGAAAGAGTACCCTTGACTTCTAAATGCTTTTATTACTTAGGTTAGGGCCAAAATCTTAGGTTTTCTTTCCCCTGGTCAAGTCAATTTTCAACAGCGTCGACGTAACAAGTCTTGGCCTCACAGAGTATCAGCGACGTGATACTCCATTTAGCTATATTATTCTATTCGAGGAGGCTTTGTCCCTGGATCTCTGGTAGATCTTGACCAAGACTGGGAATTAGCCGTCGTGTAAGTGGCACTTACATTCCAGCAGTCACTGACCGATTCAGGTCCCTTGGAAAGCAAAACGCCAGAAGAGGAGTGGCTGTCTTGGACTATAAATGACTTCACTTACAAGTTGTATAGTAATGACCCCTCCAAGGGTGAAATTCATGTTCTCGGCATTGTTAATTACCGGTTCCTCGTCCAACATGGCTATAACCGAACAAGAAGCTGCAAAGTCGTCTCATACCCATCTTGTCATGGTAATATTGGTTGTATGTTTTGCTCTTTGTGTGTCGCTTTTGTTTGTTGCCCTTCGATTTTGGTGTCGCTGTATTATTGGGTTTTCGTATTGGGATGATGCTGCTGCTGTCATGGCTCTGGTAGGTTGGCGGACACGCTAGAATGGAGCATTGCTAACAGCTTGAACTTCAGTTGTGTATAGTAGGAATGGGATCTTGTATACTCACACGTAAGTTATGGCCGGGATTTTAAAATCATAATCATAATATTTATAGTTGTACCACTCGGCCTAAACGACCCTACTGGAACCCTGCCAGAGAACAAGACCACGCCGTTTTACAAGGTTCGATTACATCCTTGTCTTTCGGAGGTCCATCTAACAGTATAAGTGCACATACATCGCTGCATTCTTCTATAAAGAAGGACTATTCTGGGCCAAGATGACGTTTCTTCTTCTTTACTGCAAGATCGTAACGCTGTCCTACTGGCGATCCGCATACCTCGGGGCTATAATGGTGGTCGTACTCTGGAATATCTGTCAAGTTCTGATATTCTTTCTTCAGTGCGCCCCTCTCGAGGCCGTCTGGAACCGCGATCTTAGAATGAAGTGCGTCACGAATCGGCTAGAGCTTGCGTATGTTTGCGCTGGAATTAATATCTTGACCGATCTCGTGGTAGCTATCTTGCCACTGCCGGTTATTTGGAGGCTCAACCTCCGTCTATCCCAGAAGATCGCTCTTTCAGCCGTCTTTGGACTCGGATGCTTGTAAGTTTATCTCAACTCAGATTTAATGTTTGTTGACCTTTGGTAAAGTTCAATCGCGCTTGCTATCGTACGGATAAAATGGGTGGAAACGTGGTCATTTATTACATGGGATATTGTCAGGCCGCAGCTCTGGGCTTTGGCAGAGGTCACTTCAGCGCTGGCCTGCGCGTGTATCCCTACTTTCAAACCGCTCGTCTCGAAAATTAATTCTATAATCATTGGCCGAAGGAGGAATACTACGGAGTTTGTTCTCGAGGAGCACAGGAGTGATGTTGAGTTCAATGCTGGAAACAACAGAAATAATGAAGGCTTGAGTGAGAAGTCAAGGCATAGCGGGGCTTGTGGAAGCGAGACATCAGTGGCGGTTGAGCAGTATCCCTGGCAGCTGAGCTGAGTTGAGTAAGCTAATGCGCTGAGGTAGCAGCTTGTGAATTTGGGTAATAAGGAGAGTTCTTATATACTATAGCTAACATACAGTAATACCAGGTAATAGTAAATCAGTGGTCTTTGACTTAAAGCCTCCACTACATCTCACAACATCTACACACCCATGCCACTGAGGTGCATGCCCGCGCCCTGAACAGCCACGGCGCTAACAACTTCGAGGCATTTTCAACCCCCTGGCTCAGCTCAGCCCAACGAGGCATTCAGGGCGTTGAAAACACACATTTACAGAGGAAAAGGATTCGCATCTTTCTTTGACATTCACGAAATCTGATGATTTCCTGTTCGGCTATCGCATAATGAGTTCTTTGTGCAACTACTCTCATCCAGAACTACAAATTACAGATGGCCTCATCCGTCAAGACACGGGCCGACTCTTCCCATACAACCCCGAGTTCTACAGCAACGCGACAGGTCTGTACGGCCCCGGCACCATTTACTGTTGGTACATGCTTCTCGTTTCTGTTCTCGCTAGTTGGGCATTTTGTCTAGCGGATGAGGATGGACCTAAGAAGCCAGGTCTTTCAAATGATCTCCTGGGAGCTCTGGCATATCCTGTATTTGCCGCGACAGATTTGGCTGTGCAATCAATGAAGATGCTGGGAATGGGAAAACGCGCACTGGCTATCTTTTGCTTGCGCAATCCAGAGGTCAACCTTGACCTGTTTGGTCCTTTCAATACCACGCAGCTTGATCTGAATCATATTCCGCCCGATACGGTGATATTGGGCCAGCGTGTCGTCGATATCACCGGGCCGCTGACTATATGCTATTCCGCAACACCCTTTTTTCTCATTCTTATCATTGGGTTCATGATTGATACCGACTATGCACGGAATTGGAAGCCAAAGCCATCAGCGCGCTGGGTGGTAAATGTAGCTTATGGCTATATCTCACTGATGCTCACAATATTCCACTTCAGTCTCGGTGACATAGGAACCAGCTTCTTCATCGCCCTCCACGAGGCGATGTTACCCGTGATCTTAACCGTCATCTACCTATTTACCGCGTTCATCGGCCTAACATTTCTTACTGGCATCATCATGCTGGTTTGGTCAACGATTGAGAAGAACTACAAAGACGCGGTTGAAGCTCTAAAAGCTCTAGGAGGCTGTATCTTTTGTGCGGGTATGCTGGTTGTGCCATTGATGTTGATGATTCACCAAGACCGCAGTACTACGATACCGGATTTGGGAATCAGGGTCAGTGAGAGGGACCAGTTGGCGACCTTGCTCGTTGGTATTGTGACGTTGACTTTTACGGTTATTGATGTTTTCAGGAACTTCTATCGAGCGAGACATCGAGAAGAAGTGGCGGACGCGGAGATGCAAATGCTTCCAGCTGCTGAAGGAGCGACTGGGCATAGCTGAATGGCCATGTGGCTTTCTGGCGTTTTATACCAAGGATGAGAGGGACAGCTTCGATCACAATAGCAAACTCCATCGCTCGTTCATAGGATTCAATTTATTAGGGGCGGAATGTCTTGAAAGCAAACTACCAATGTACCAGCCTACCCACTGTGTCTGTATTCCAATCCCACTCCAGTGCACATCGTATATGACTCGTTGGTGGATTTCTAATACCAATTCTCGATTTCCCGTTCCATATCCTACTCATAATGTACTTCAACTAAGAAAATATACAAAGTTATGAGACATCGAAAACGCTGGCCTTGGACCCAACTCGGCTGACTTAAAGCTCGTGCAAATACACCAGACTCAAGCGAAAAGCCCTCTAGTAATTGTACTGAGCCATGTTCTAGGGCGCTTAGCGACAGACCCGAATTCGTTGTCAGCGGGTCGCTTCTTTCCCATCGGAAATTCGTCACTTGTGCCGTCTGAGATTGGTGGAGTTGGACATCTCTTTCGTTCAGGCGTTTCGTCAGGTGTACCACCAACTGTAGGCGTGGATAGTCTGGCATGGTCATAGTGTAGTTCCTGCTCGATGCTGGGAAGGATGGTGTCGGGAGGAGGCAAAATATCCTTGAGAGACGTTTCATGTTGATTCGGTCCTTGAGCTGTATCTGCTGTATCCTCCTCAACGAGACTGGCAAGGATATGACGGCGGATGCGTATCTGAGTCTTGCGTAGGTCGCGAGCTAGTTGACAATCCGTTTCGATAGTAAGAAGCGTTCGGCTGATTGCGGCGTTGAGCGATAACAACTCTTTGCCTTCACAAGCCTGCCGTTCGGCTGGTAAAAGCTGGGCCATAGCGGCCTGGATTGTAGACATTGCCGATGGCCTGTACAGGGCACTCATAGGACTTGGGTTGTATTTTCGACTGTAAAGATACTTGAAGTTGATTGATACTTGTTGTATGTCTTGTATCTTTTCTGCCCGATGTGGTCGAGATATTGAATAACGGGGGCGGATATCAACGCTCAACACTGGACGCCAAGAACTCTTTTGTATCCTTGAGGTTAATTTCTCTTGGATTTCTTATGCATGTAGCACAGACGGATTTAAGGTACTCAGCCGGACAGATACGGGTTAGAGTTACACAAGGTCACAAGTGGAGGCGTTGATGGGGCACAGCCAAACTTGAAGACAGACGCCGCCGTTCGTATGGCTTGTGGTATAGACAGCGGTCTATGATGCATTTACTTACGCAAGGTGCCGTGACATCCCTGATTATGGGATGTGCACTGGAGCTTTCAACATGTCGGCCACTGAAGAGGTAGCGTATGGTTGCTCCGCTATTGATTACTGGATTAACTACTACCATGTAACAAAACAGGCGGGAACAATGAAGCCTATCTTCAAGAACTAGATATTTATCATGATATGAGAATGGTAGCGGAAGTCATCTCAGTTGTTAAAGGAAATATTCAAATATCGGCTCAATGTGGGCCATCTATGCAGCTTGCCGCGGCCAGACACAGGTTTCGGGGGGCTTCAAACAACGACAGCAGAAATGATGGAATCATACGAGAAGGGCTCCAATTTAACCTTGCCTAGATTGCTACAACGCGTATTTGACGCGTTGGCAGTCATACCTAAAGATGGGGTGTGAGTTTCGACCTTGCGAGGGCATACTCCAGTCTCAACCGTCAAGAGATCACTCCCCTTTGGCTTTTGTATTCTAATTAATACACAGTTTCGAGTATAAGAGACAAACGGACACAAGTAATCAGCGATCATGGGTAAATGCCTCTCTCGCCCGGAGCGGCACAATATTCTGCCCAAGCGCCTTTACCCTGTCAATACTCCCGATAATGAGCAAGCGAGCATGTACAGCCACCCAAACGTCATGCTCAAGACAAACAAAGGAGCACGCAACAGTAGTTAGTCACCAATCTGGACTGTCAGATTTCAAACACTGACCATCCTTGCCCCTGCAAAGCTCCCTGCGCTAAGGCAACTACCTCAACAAAACAGTCCGCCCGCAAGAGACATTCTCGTCATCGCAACCGGGAGACCAGGCAGAGGAAGAGGAATCTCAAGGATATCCGGGTGCGCCTTGATCATGCTCGTGCTCGGTACGAAGCAGCTAAGGATGAAGTCGCGTCTTGTGAAAAAGAGATCACCAATCTTTCCCAAAGAATGAATGGCCGACGCGGTCTTGCAGCGGTTCAACCCGAGACGGAATCCCGGGCCGGAATATCTGAGGATCTCTAAAGCACAAGAGATAGGACAAGGCTAGCCGTTTTGGTGGTCTAACAAACTCTCGCATCGATGTGCTGTCACATGAGGCTTTGCGCTACGGGATGAAAAGTAGTCTACATATACATCAACAAATGTTTGGCATTCCACCTTTAGCGCTGTTCTTACCGTAGTTTCTGCATCAATGACAATAAAGGACTCATGAAAATTGCTGAGAATGCAGTTTAAACTGTTGCACGAGCAGCTTGGGCCATAAGTATCAGTCTGTTGCATGTGCATGCTGCCATGATTAACCAATGATGGAAACTCACGAGGAGCATCTTCCCTTTCCTACTAATGTTTTAAGGGTCCTACTTTCTGGCGCCAAGTCCCCAACTGCACTCTCTTCTCCGTGGGTTATCCTGTACACTGGAGTTGTTGCCTCTCTAACATTTCCTCATCCCAGTCTCCATACCCATCGCTACTGGCACGATGTCACCCGATGCTATCAGGGCGACTCTTGCGCAATGGGACTTCTCTGTAGCTTCACAAGGTAAGTAATTTACCCAATGTCTAGAGTTTCAACAAAATTAATCAGGATATCAGGTTTTCGTCGTCGCGAATCGGTTGTGTCTCCTCTAGATCAACACCTTCCCCGGATCTCGAGCAACCCATCTCTTCGAACGGAGTCCTCATCTCAACCGATGGAGACTGATGACCCAGCAGAAGACTACTTCCCACGCTTCAGCTCTTCTATTGGGAACTCATTCTTGAGACCTGGTACACGATGGCCGTCACTTATGTCCACAAATGCAGATGAAGAGATTCTCAATGTCACTCGTCAAACGATTCCAGGTCATAATCTTCTTCCTTTTCCGAACACCCAGGCTGCATCTGATCTCGGAATCCTCAACTTCTATGTTGAAGAGCCAGACACAGTCTACCTCGAAGTCAGGTTTCCCAACATGCAACCCATCATACTCAGAGAGGAGAACGTACAAAGGATCAACGAGCCAGCCGTCATCAATTTCTGGCGCCTCTCTGGAAGTCGAGAGTATGCTACAGGCATAGGAAAGCGTCACGTATTTTGTATTCTCGGCTATCGCGTTTTATATCTCCCGAACGGTGGAGAACGAGAGGAACATTGGATTCATTGGACAGGATACCGCGCATCTGAAGCATCGTGGGTTGAATCTGACTTCGTCCGACGTGTTGCACCTGAGATGGTCCGGGCCTTCAACTCCGAGCGCCGACTTTCTTGCTACAGAGACTCTACTGGGGAGATGTTTATCACCAAGACTGCACCGCGCTGTTATGAAATGGCCAACATGGTGAGCTGTAATGGTTGTTTACGCTGTGGAGGCGGATGCAACCGTGGTCATATTTAACGGATGGGTATCTTGGTGTAGCATCACGTCAATGACGCTCAATTGGATCAATGTGTCACTATCCTTGGATAAATCACCCGGAAGTCTACCTCTACCATAATTAACCTAATATCTCTTTCTTCTCCGTCGACTTGGGAGTCTACCACCCCCAGTAACACTGGTAGCAGTCGTATCCGTCTCCATATGCTCTTCACACACAGTTGGCGTCTTCTCGCCTTGACTCTCATGATAAAATTTAGAAACATGGAAATTATGTTTTGATCCTCCACATGCGACTTTTACCTCACTAAGCTTCAGCTGCGGGAAACACTCATCGCACCAGTTATGCTCAGGATAGTCGGACGATTTGTTAGCTGTTGGAGGCCGGATAATCTTTAAACATAGTTTGTTGGAGCAGCAAACTGTCGGGTTCATAGGCTGCCATTTTGCTTTGAAAGTGAATTTGCCAGATATAAGCATTTCCTTGTTCGTCAGAAGCCCCAACTGACGGCATGTCGTCTTGCATTCGTGGAGGGCAAAGAAGAACTTGAACCCACTGTCACCGAGATTCGTTTGACTCAGTTGAAAGCGTTCAGGATCCTTGGTCTGGATTGCAGGATCAATGAAGGTGTTGTCAAAACCTTGAAGATCCGTGACAAGAAAATGGCCCCAGGAGCGCTCAAAGGTAAAATGCGAGAAGGCTTGCGCAATCTCATTGAATGGATTACTGTCGTCTTCCAATACATAAGCCCCGTTACTATTGTACTTGACATAATTGCCCTCAATGAACGGCTCCAGCAATAGATTGTCGTCTGATTTAGATCCGCGAGACATGTCCTGAAGACAAAGAGCAGTTATAAAATCAATCGGCTGCGAAGACTTGATAAGCCCGTTGAACTCTAGCGCAAATGCTTTGCAGAGTGCTTGCATTCGCACTTCCTCAATCAGATTGGCTATTCCATGTTCAGTGTGTTTGAATGACTTGAGAACGAATTTGCTCGTGGTTGCCGCTGGGCGAGCATACGCCGCGACGCGCGAAGAGCCTTCAGCGAAATACTTGGAACGGGCGTTGATATCGAGCTTGATAAGTCCAAGCTTGATGTTCTCGTCGTTGTCCAACATTGCATCTAGAGTATTAGCTCCACGGACGCTCAAGTCCAGACAAAAGCCCTCCGTGGTGAGCTTCTTGTCTAGCCAGCCAGGGGTGTTCCAGCGCGGCGGTGCTCTCTCAAAAGAAATGCTTTTAATGGCCATGCTTCTAGCAACACTGCCGTCTTCCAAGATAGTGGTCAACTCTGGGCGCCTGGGCATGTGCGAGCCACCGCGGCCCTCGCCCCCTTGGTTTTCTGTAAGAGAAGGCTCCAAAGTTTCATCTTCATGCAAATCTTTGTAGTCGTTCTGGGGCTTGAGACCATGAGGTCGTCTTTTATCAAAATCAAAAGGGTCATCAACTTCGTCGCTGTGTTCTCCTGGATCTGAGTCTTGTCCTATCGACCCATTCGTGGCTTCTGCCGAGTCGTTGTCCGATCTTCCATCATCTGATGACAGGTAGTCAAACCTCCTAGCGCGGGAAACACCAAATATCCACTCTAGTGTGGAAGCGGTCTCTGAGGCGACGATAGATCTACTTTGATTTATTTCTGGAGAGTGCAGACTTTCCAGAATATGCTTTCGAAGTTCCTTTACCTCGGCTCCTCCATCAAGACTTCTGGAAGAATATTTCAGCCTTGGAACCGACAGCAATATAGAGATACTTACTGTTTTGTAGAGTTCCAATATTCAAGAAATGCCTTAGTACAAGATGCAGCACACAAAGCGCTATAGGCTTGCCAGTCCTTGTTCTTATGGCTATCGGCGTAATCGCAAACACTCTTGATTACAATGGAAGGAAACACCTCCCAAACTCCAGCGCTCTCCATCTCGAAGCCTACTACTTTCTTCTGTCGTATGAGTTGGTCCCTGTCTTTTCCAGACTTCATCACAGTATCTCCAGAGGCGAATGTTCCAAAGTGTATACTCAAGCTTGGCTCCATTTCGTCTGTGTTACCTGGAATCTGACGTATGGTCTGTTTCCTATCGCACCCAAGCTCTTCGCAGGTCGCCCTCAGAGACTCTGAGCAGACGGCGTCAGCATCAGTGGAGCAAGAGGTACAGACAGAGCATTCTCGGGAGTCTTGGTGCTTATGACGGTAACTTGCCGGAAATAATACATCCTTGGAACGTCCAGGATATGCGTTAGGCACAAGGGCGATGAGGTCACGAGTGGCCCTTCTCAACTTTTCCCTTTGCCGTGCTGTGGTGAGTTTGGCTAAGAGACTCCTAATCTCCAGGTTTGGTCTTCCCAAGCTCTCGCCTAATGTGTCCTTCATCTCAAACCGGTCTGGGAATCGACGACCAAAGTCATACTGCACAACGCCAGTGCTGATAATGACATCACCAAGAAAGATTGGTGTGTCTTCATACAAAGGCGCCCCACCACAGATTCCAACGATAAGTGCAAGGCTGATGTTGGGAAAACTCATGCGACAGAAAGAAGCGATGTGTCCTGCAATCTTTCCCATGCCGGGAAGGTGGGCAAGCACCACATTGTGACATCCGATGACACCTGTTGAGTATGAGTTTGGGTCGCCCCGTGCTTTTCCCAAGGAGAGGCCGCTATCTTCATCCCAATGGTGATCAAAAGAGGCAATGACGGCATCGGCCTCTAGAGTCAGAGCACATATAATAGCGATCTCGAAATCGTCGCGACTCTTTGGATGACGGGGCGTAGCTGGAGGCATTATAGACATAAGCTTGATGAGTTGATTGGGGAAGTTTGCTTAGGTTCAATGCTGACATGCGAGAGCCTGATCAGGCTGGTTTCAGCCGCTCGAGACTCAGCTGACTCCAAGTATGCAGACTCACCAATTGGGAACTCATACGCCAATAAGGGCCTTGAAATAAAGCCATCGATTGGAAGACGTAAAACGCAAGACAGATTTGTTCTTTTGATCTCATGGCAGCACCCAAATCACTCTCAACAGGAGTTGCAATGGTTCACCTTCACCTTGACACAGTGACTGATTCGAGAACAACTTTATATAAGTCGTGCTTAGTCAATTTGGCCGACGACGGTATAAACCTATGCGATGACTTGGGCTCAGCGCGTAATCATCAATGTAATAACAATCGCTTTCTCTTGGACCTATTGGTTGTCTTATCCCGAGAAGCTGCAGGCCATCATCGGAGAAGTTCTCGAGACGCAGCTGCTGACAAATGATGGGGAGGTCCTCGGACGATATTGACGAACAATTGATAAAATATGGGACTCGGGCTTTTGTGGCCGGTTATTGAATGGGAACAGTTCCTGCAATCGTTGTGCTCAGCGGGGAGGATGTGCTGATACGTGGGGGTCGTCGGAGCTCATCCGGGGGATCAATTTAGCATAGGTACGTTGAAGCTCAATCGCGATTCAACGGCTAAGGAGAAGATATAAAAGAGAAGGCCATTAATAAAATGGGACTAGCTCAAACAAAAACTCAAAGGTCCTCATCCTAGTCAATACCCTCTGACTACCTAAACCCGGTTACGTTTTCGTGTCCTCATCACCATCACCAACCCCACGCCCAGTGGTCATGCTGAACAGGAAAATTGACCGGGATGTGCGGCGGCTGAAAAGCTGGGGTTACGCCAGTATCAGGATGACCCTATCATAGCAGACCCAATGTGATATCTTTCTGAAATCTTGTAATGTGTAGGTATTTCCTCGTGTGGAAGGTCATCTCGATAAACTTGGATACTTTCAGTGGCTTTAACGGGTCGGGGAGTCCGGCCTTGAAAGACAGTGTTTGGTGTGACGGATCAACCGATCTGCACTGGAAGATCAACACAACCACGAATCTCGGGATCCGGGGAATTATGGAGGTAGTAAATGCTCCCTGACTTTTGCTTTAAAATATTTATACAGTCCTTCTTGATCATTCCATCGCTTCAAGATCAGAACGAGATCATACAATGCTTACTCACATCAAATCGATGACTCCAACAAGTGACGCCATAAAATAAGCACCATCACGACAACCCCTGTCACAAGAACCGTAGATCACCGAAGGTGGCACGCGAGCCCCCCGCGCACCCACCGAGACAAGAGTGGATTAGCACCCAAATTGCACCATCAAACCCCGCGACTTCGCAACCCCCGGGGAGTTCTTTTGTCCTGTTTTTATTCCTTCTCAATATCAAGCCACTGACGATCACCTAACCCTTTCGTATAATATAACATAACGATGCCGCCAGCTGAAAATTCAGAGGCTGGTCGTCTCTTGAAATCTCAACCCCGCGATTCTGCCTCTTACACCATGGCTGATAAGGAAGAAGAGCGCAAAGCCTATGGGGCGATTAATAACGATGGGAGGAGGAATAGCCTTGTCGACGCTGCTGATGACGAAGCAATTATTCCCAGGGGGGGTTTGGATCCTGTTTATGAGGCGAAAGCTCGTATCTTGAACCGTGCTGTAAGTTTTGTTTCGTTTTCTTCACTCATGTTATTGATCGGGAGGGCGTTAACGTTGTCATGTCAGATTCAAGATCTCGGCATGGGGCGGTATCAGTGGGAGCTTTTCGTCGTCATAGGCTTTGGCTGGGCTAGCGATAATCTCTGGCCTATCGTCACGTCGCTTATTCTTACACCTGTCGCCAATGAGTTCAGTGTAAACAATCCGCCATATCTCACGCTGGCGCAGAACATTGGTCTTCTTGGAGGTGCAATTTTTTGGGGATTCGGGTGTGATATTTGTAAGTCGTCCCTCCCGCCAGTTCCCTTATTAGACTGATCATTAATTCTGCCAGTTGGGCGAAAATGGGCATTCAACATCACTCTTGGTCTCACGGCAATTTGGGGCCTCATTTCAGCCAGCGCCCCCAATTTCGCAGCCATTGGCATTTTCGACGCATTGTGGTCTTTTGGTGTTGGTGGGAATTTACCAGTTGACTCGGCCATTTTTCTCGAGTTTCTACCGGCATCTCATCAATACCTCCTCACAATTCTCTCCATTGACTGGGCCATTGCACAAGTCATCGGTACACTCATCGCATGGCCACTTTTGGGTAACTATACATGCGAACAAGATACAGTCTGTCGACGAAAGGATAACATGGGATGGCGATATTTTACCATTACTGTTGGTGGACTAACACTTCTCATGTTCCTTGTTCGCTTTGTTCTGTTCAAGATCTACGAGTCACCCAAGTATCTCATGAGCAAGGGTCGCGATGAAGAGGCTGTTAGGGTTGTGCACACCGTGGCCAAGAAGAATGGAAAGACGTCAACGCTCAGTCTCGAGGATCTGAAGGCTTGTGAACCCGAAGGTTACGTTGCCCAGACAGATACCAGCGCCGCGTTGAAGCGATATCTGGAGAAGGTCGACCTGTCGCATGTCAAGGCGCTCTTCGTCACGAGAAAGCTCGGCCTCAGTACGGGATTGATCATGGCAGTTTGGGCACTCATCGGTCTTGGATACCCCCTCTATAACGCTTTCATTCCGTATATCCAGGCGACCAAGGGTGCCGACTTTGGCGATGGAAGCACATACCTCACATACCGAAACAGTCTCATCATTGCTGTTCTTGGTGTACCTGGTGCACTTCTGGGAGGATGGCTCGTTGAGTTACCACGGCTGGGACGAAAGGGTACGTTGTCACTCAGTACCATACTCACCGGCGTGTTTCTCTACTGCTCCACGACTGCTACGACAAGCGATGCTTTGCTTGGATGGCAATGCGCTTTCAACTTCTTCAGCAATATCATGTACGCGGTTTTGTACTCCTTCACGCCAGAGTTATTCCCCACGCCTCACCGTGGAACAGGCAACGCGCTGTGTGCTTCCTGTAACAGAATCTTTGGCATCATGGCAGTAAGTTCACCCTCGAGTCCTGTTACAGCCCAATACTGACTTCCGCAGCCTATCATTGCTATTTTTGCAAATTTGAAAACATCTGCCCCTGTATATACAAGTGGCGCATTATTCATAGCAGCTGGACTCTTGGTATTGATGATGCCTTTTGAGTCTAGAGGCAAAGCTGCATTATGAGTAGTAATGTGATGCTGGATAGATAATGATGGTATGAATAGCAAAATACGAAGCGAAGCACTCTTTCAGGGTTATTGGTATAGCAATTTCGTGCACCAGTTGCACCGATTAATGATAACAGACTGGTGTCAGTTATATTTCACTCTTGACTTCTTCTCGTCTCGTTCCTTAACTAGATCCGTTTCAAAGGATAATCCAGCCTCCTTTCTAAGTATTCCATACATGGAAGAAGAATCAAGGGGCCTTCCCTCAGCTTCAGAGAACTGTTTTGCATCCTTCAGATGTTTGATGGCAACTTCGGCGACCTCCAATCTCACTCCAGATTGTTCCGCAAGGGTGATTCCATGACCTACATCTTTAATTGCTAGATTCAAGTCCGACCAAGGCCGGTCGCCTCTCGCTGGCATGTAAGCACCGGTAGTAAGTCGTTGAGACATGGAAAGTGCCAGAGGTCCGTATTGTTGTTCAATGAGAGCTTCGAGACTCTTACTTCCAAGGCCAGACTTTTCTGCTAGGATATGTGCCTCCGCTACGACTTCCATCATACCAGCCGTAATAAAATTTCTGTCTTGTCATTAGCTATGCTTAGATATCAGATGAGAGCCCTTACCCTGCTGTTTTCATCTTACTCGACAGTCTCACATCTTCGCCAACTCGAATCACACCTCTTCCCATGACTCCCTCCAAGTATGGATTAATCTTTTCCACGGCATCGTCAGGTCCAGCAACTATCCATAGAAGCTTTCCCTGCGCCGCAACAGGGCTTGCACCAAAGACGGGGGAGGCGATGAATTTGGCGCCCTTCTCATTCAAACGAGCTTGAGCTTTGGCCGAAGAGTCCGGATGAACGGTTGACGTATCCGCAATCACTTTTCCAGCGAGCTGTTCAGGACCCTCGAAGTCAATAATTAAATCGAGGGTTGACTCAAGAGCCGAATCGTCGCTGAGAGATAGGAAAATGATGTCGCAACTTGTCACGAGGTCTGTGGCTGAAGGAGCAGGTTGAGCGGCAAGGCTCTTGAGAGAATCACCGCGAGAGATAGTTCGGTTATAGTAAAGAAGATTGGGGGCGCCTGTTGACTTTAAGTGTTTCTGGAGGTTTGTTGCCATGGCGAGTCCCATTGACCCCAGGCCTGTCTGATTGTCAGTTCTCTGTTGGGACTGGTGAGTGATAAATGTAGCTACCGATCCAGCCAATCCGTGGAGATGTCATATCGAATTTGAATCAGATTTCAGATGCAGACATGTACCGGAGATCTGTAGAGAGGGTGGCTTATACCTATCCATTATGGTATTTATAAGTAAGCAATTAGATTCGTGAAGACTCAAATTCGGCTTTCGGATCCGTAACCCCGCAGCCTCGGACCTTGTCCCGAATCTTTTCAATCGCTCTCCATCGCCGATAATTATATTAGGGTTCATCTCTATAATTTTATAAAGTCCTTTTATAATAGTAGTTTCCTAATCTATTTTTAAAAGCATTTTCTGCTATTGTGGTTCTAGTATGTTGAAGTATTATCTGACTCAGTCAGTCTACCCTATTGCAGATTGGAGTTAGAAGTGGAAATACACTAACAAACCCTACAGACTCAAATATCATAGTATATGTATATCATTCTGTGTGCCGACACTCAACCAATCATAAAGCAATCCCGGGCGAATGGTTTAGTGGTATAATACTCCCTTAGCATGTTCTCTCCTCTGGAAGATACACCTCTGGGAGTGGTCCAGGGTTCGATTCCCTGTTCGTCCAACGTCGGTGGTTAGACTCCACTATTATCACACTCTTCTGTATTTTTTGAGAACTGTCCTATCGAAGAGCGAAGTTATATAATGTTAAGCTATATTATTAGGATAAGAAAAGTGTCAGCTAGGCAGCTAAATAAATGTTTTCTAAACCAGCTTTTTGCACTCTATTAATCCTATTCAACTGTTAACTTTAACTGTTTATTAATGCTTTGTAAATATAACTTACTTTAGCCTAATTCTCTTTTATATCTTTTTATAATAGCTATTGCCCTTTTCACTAACAAAAACTAGATACCAAGTAGCATGCCTGTGTTTAAGAAACGTGATATAATAGCAGGACGTGTCAGTAATTGTTGTCAAGACCCTCTGGCTATACAGAAACCCGCACATGGAGAATTATCTTTATTGAGGCTATATGTATATTAAAACTGAAGTGAATTGCGACTTTTTGGTACATTGACTAGATGTCTCGAACTTCATGAGCTTTAACTATTAATCAATCGTGGTTAGGGAAGCAAGTACATGACTTGCTAGTAACTTGGCCCCCTTACCTTGAAACCTGAAATCTGACATAAGCTCGGGCATAGAATCCTTCAATAATAAGTCCTACCATCAACTGGACTTTATCTTTATCCCTCATAGACTTGGATGATATCTCATTGCGACCATTTGAACTTCCTTAAACTTCCTATCGTCTCGAATATGACTGCTGTTCTTGCAGCCGCAAGACCCGCCCTGGTAATCGTACCTGGCAACTTTAGTTTATCTCGCTTCTGGAGGGCCATCCAGCGGCCGGTTGAAGACAAGGGCTATTCTGTCGAAGTTGTTCCTCTCCAGTCTTCCCATGAAGAAAAGATTGATCCTGCGCCAGGTCTGGCCGATGATGTAAAAGTGGCTCAGTCAGTTCTGAACAAACAAATTGACCGACGAAAAGATGTTGTCATGCTTATGCATTCATATGGCGGGATGGTAGGAACTGAAGCGACTCGCGGCTTGAGTCGCAAAGAGCGAGAAAAGGCTGGCCTTGGAGGTGGGATAACTCGCATGGTCTTCTTGGCTGCGATCTTTGCACCTCCTGGCAAAAGTACTCGGGGGTTATATGAAGCCAACTCAGGGCGCTATCCCCGCCGCGAGGTACGTGAGACTTTGATATGTGATTCTGTCTGAACTAATTGTAACTGCGAAGGGCGACTACCTTGTATGCGATGAAGAAACAGCCATGTGCTTCTATAGCGATCTCACAAAGGAGGAAGGCTTGCCACTAGCTCAGGATGCTTCCAAGATTTATCAGGCAGTTAGGATCTTCGGCGATGAGCAGACATATGATGGCTTCCACGAATTCATTTCATCCAGCTATATCGTTACTAAGAAGGATGTGCTCGTTCCCGAACCAGCTCAGAGGCAGTTCATCTCGCGACTGGAAGAGAACGGAGGTCGACCTGTCCCTGTTTTTGAGCTTGATACGGCTCACTCGCCTCATCAAACGGATCCCCAACTACTGATGAGGACTTTGTGCAAGATATTAGAGAAGGAGCATGGGACAGAGTGAAGAGCGAAGACTGGGGGGATTAATTCAGTCTGATAGCTCATCTCTTTGTCACACAACAGATGTTAGTCAGGGGCCTGGTTTTAGAAAATCTTCAGCCTGGCCGTAGCAGAGTGAGACAAATGGCAAACCATGGCAAGCTGACATCATTTAAAGAGTTGGCAGAAAACTCAGCTGTATATCGGAGCCGTCTCTAGTTCATATGACGGAGGGACCAACGGCGTAGCCGCATATAGTCCAGAATCTTCAGCTTTCCGATTTCCCCGATCAGTTCAGGTATTCTAATTTATTGCCAGCCACATTTCTGAAAGGACTTGTAAGATCATTGGGAGCCGTGCTGGCCCCTGGCGCAAGGGTCGATCATGTCTCAGCGCCACTCCCTTGCGTCCTCCTGTTGATCGAGAGTCATCACGCTATTCAATTCGGAAATCGGCAGTCAGGAAGCCTAGATCACGAGGTGAATTGACGTTAGGCAGAAGAAAGCTCAGGGATATGCTTGAACATCAATTGTGTACTTGCAGCGTAATGAATCACTGGTGCAAGACTCAACAAGATGGTGAAGAGGCAGGCTGTTGGCTATCTAGCAAGAAAGGGCGCCAGAGCATCGAGAACAAGGTTTATAACAAATCAATTAATTCCATAACAATATTCACCATATAATATTGAACTGCATACTCCCTTATGGCACTGCAGGGCTCAATCGATTCGATCCCTGGACCCATCTCAAAGTGAGACATTGAGCTCTTCTAGTTCCTCATCCATTCCTGCCAACCCATCTCGCCTCCCTTAAACACGCTGCCATTCAAATCGATACACTAAAATTCCAGCGCGTAAAGTTTTCTCTTTAGTTTAGCGCGTTTCAACACTTTTACTCAGCACCTTGCCAACCACGCTCGTGAACGAGACCCTGGCAATACGACTCTCCCTGCTTTGCTAGTGCTTTTCCGCCACAGCAAAGCGCTGAAAAGCTGGACAACTGGTATGTATGACTGCCGACAAAGCGTTTTAATGGTTATAAAATTATTGAAAACCGTAATTCTGGACTTCCCAGCCACACGGGTTGACGTGTGAATAATGCAGTATCCATACGAAGATGCGCAACCTCTTTGTTATAGCGTTCCAGGCAGGATGAGTGGAGTACAGCGCCATGTATATCAAGCAGGCTGCTTCTCTCGATTGAAGACTCATCATCACTACCAACAAGACAGAAACCAAGACATCTTTCGTCTATCTCGACAAAAAAAGTCTTCTGTATTTCTTTATCACATACTTCGACTCCAAGATGAGAACATCGCTGGCTCTTTTGGCTCTGGCAGCCACAGCCTTTGCCGTTCCCCAAGCAGTCACAGAAGATATTGCCCCCAAGGGTAAAGCCCCCAAGGGTTGTACCACCTCATATGACGGCCAATTCGAAGTCACAATCTTCAAGCCTGGAAACGAGAAGCGCGATGTCACCGAGGTAAGCAAGATCATACTCCCAACCGTGATCCTTGACTAACAAACAACAGCGATCATGCAATGGTGAGGGCGTTCTAGTCTTGAACCTCAAAGATGGCGTTCTCAAGGACGCTCAAGGACGAACTGGTTACATCTCCGAAAGCTACCAATTCCAATTCGACAAGCCCGTTCAAGCTGGCGCAATCTACACATCCGGTTTCTCAGTCTGTTCCAACGGTACCCTCGCCTTCGGGTCCTCCGCAATCTT